GGGTGATTCTACGTGTAAAAACAAATCGAAAATAAAGAATAAATTTTTTTCATTCGAAGCTTCGTTGTCGAGAAAATTGACTTTGAATATTCGCTGAGTGCACGTGCACTTGACTATGGCTAAGGCGGGTGCAGTACGCTCAGTGCATATTCAAAGTCGATTTTCTCGACAACGAAGCTTCGAATGACAAAAACTTATTCTTCCTTTTCGATTTATTTTTTCACGTAGAATCAAATAGAATATACAAAGTGATTCCACAGGATATGGTTGATGATCTGAAAGTATACATTATATATTTCTTCCATTTATATTTGTTCATTTGATTTCAACAACTTTAAATGGGTAATTTTGGAATTTGTTATGAACTCATCAGCTTTCCTAAAATTTACAGTATAATATATTTAATTTTGACATATTCATTTGACACAAAATTTAATAAATAAACAATCAAATGAGACCATGTTTGAATATACTTGGAGAAACAGAATGTTTTTCATTTTGGTTATACGATGATTCATCTTTGTCGATATAATAATTAATGGTCATCGGTTATAACAAAATAGAATGATGACTCACCTCCCTCTGATTCTAGAATTCTTGAATATCACTGTATTGATCCGTGAGACATTTTATTTCAGTTAACAAGGCAAACACTCTCTCATTTTTAAATTGAAAATCATAAACAGGAAGGATAACAAGCTTCATTAAAATACGTGATTTCCCAATCGAAATACGAGGTTTATTTTAATTATATAGGTTACGGTAGTAATGGGGGGATGACAGTGAATGGTCTGACTCTTCGTGCGAAAATAAATTGGATACCGGGTACGAAGCATTGTTTTGGAGAACATCGATTTTGAAGCACAGTTTTGAAGTGTGTACTCACTTGACTAGGTTCGTTAATTAGTATTTGTACTCTATTTCCGATTTGCAAATATTAAAACTACGTATTTCTAATAACAGAATTTAAAGAAATATCATAGCTAAATAAATTTTATTTTATTTCCTTTATTTCCTTACCCTCGTTATCATTAATTAACTTTTAAAAAATAAGATCATACCTACAATCATACCTAATCAAAAAATTGCACATTAGTACCTGGCATTAATCCCATATCTCTTTATTTAATTACACCTTCAACAATTTCCTTAATTAAAAATTTGTTACTTAAATTTGAATCAATATTTCTCTAAAAACTAAAAATAAAAACAATTTAACTTAATAATTTCTTTAAATCGAATGAAATAATTTAAAACTAAATGAAAAATATCTTGAAATTTAAATCAACAATTTTTTGAAACAATACACGCATTCAAAAACAAACGGTCATTTATTCCTCGCATGTAAGTCAAGTGCACGCGTACTTGATGGTTCTTCAAAAATCAATTCTACACGAAGCGAAATTGAAAATCCCGCGACAAACAATATTTAATTTCACATTTTCAATCTATTCCAAATCAGACGATTTCTCCTGCTCGTAATCCTATCATACTTCGTTTTTCCCTGAAAAGGTCAAAATCATTTTACGTAATACCCAATTCAAAGAATAGGACGTGAAAGATTCGAATCAGTCTTACATATTTCCAATATGGAGGTTATGTGTCCACTTTTTCCAAGAATTTTCACGGCACTTTATATTTTTCAGAGAAAACCGTAACAGTAGCACTGACCGCAAATTCAATTTTAAGCCGCAATTCCTATGTTTACATGGCGAACGTGTAAAATCGATATCACACATAACCACATTTTCTTTGCTAATGGCGTACTGTAAATACACTGTTCGCTCGTTCGTTTCGTGTTGCAAAAAGTTTGCGTTGTTTACTCGTAAATAATTCTCGATGGTATTTAACAGAAATTGGCATCGGATTTTCAATCGTTACTTCGAGTATAAGTTTCAATAACTCTCGTAAATAGTTGACAGGAAACGAATAAGACCACCTGGGTCGAGGGTGTCCGTACCGTTCTATAGTGTGGTCTATATGTAAATCGTGCTCTATAGTACGCACTACTGAAATATTTTATTACACACCTCAATTAGCTTCAATTTTGTAATCAAATTTTAGTGCAAGTAAGAATCAATATCGAGATAAAATATTATAAATTAGTACAAAAATTTGTGTGGCTTCTTGATACCTAACAAATAACATTGTTTTTAAAAAAACCGTTTTATTGGTTTATTAATTGATATGTAATAAAATATGTATTTAAATTCTTAGAATATTATTACTTGCGGAGAAACGCATAAGCTACGCCTAGAAATTATTTCATTTTGCAAAAAATTTATTTTTATTCATTTTCAATCATTAAAAATTTTAATTTTAAAAATTTAATTTAAATTTTTAAAATTTTTTATTCTTTTTACTATTTTAGGGACATAACTTTGTCCACTTGTGGTAATTTGTATCTACCTTCAGATTTCAATCTGCGTTTGTACTTACGTACACTTATTCGAGCAACACATTGCTAAATACCTTCCGAAATTGGAATCGTTAATTTTTCGTTTAAATACGTAGCTGGATCCTCGATTGCTCAATATTCAGGCCAGCTGGTCGACATGTGACGAGTTTTATGTTAATCCCGTCCGATTACAATATCCTTCTCTCGTTTACAAGAAACGACGGGACCGGCAGTTGCGTGCCTTTCGACACAGAAGCCGCGATATCTGCACGATAACCTAACCTCAAACGATTTCGTTCTTACTTTGTTCGTACCAGTTTCGTAACGAAAATAGAATATGTAGAACGTAGTGTTTTGTTGTGCAATATAGCGAATTCTTGATAACTGGAAAGCATGAAGAGAGTTAAGAGGTGATTATTAAAAACGGAAGAGAGTATCAAGGACATTTAATTGCGTGATCGGAGACAAAGTTTGCAATACAAACGACACGTTTGCTAGTTTCAGAAATGCGAATATCATTTTTAAAAATATCGTTAATTATCTGATTAAAGGGAACATTAGAAATAGGAGTACATACCAGCATTGAGGTTAATTTTTTTTTTTTTTCAACTCTGACTCTTGCAATTTGTCCTGCGGACATTCGATAAGACGTTCTGATTGTGTGGATGGTCATGCCATGGGGATGCTAATGCCTTTGGATTAGCATTTTTACAGAATAAAAGTTTTCTTATGTCTGAGCTTATATCAGTTAGTCCTAGGGATATTTCTTTCTTAATTTTCTAGGTATTCTAGTAGTGTACAACGTATTAGCCAATGAATTAGGGTGGTTTGTTGTCCCTAATTTGTATTGGTAATTGAACTACGATAACCTCACTTTTGGGACCAAGGATTAAATATATATAGACAATTATTCAATTAAGCTTAGTTACTTATACATGACCGTACTGTATACTTAACTGTAGTTACATATCCATATGCACTTTCAAGAATTCACATCTAATTGCAGTGTACTCATAGGGGTTACATACATACATTCTAGTTTGATCAAAGATAATAAATTTCGTTCGTAAATAGATAAATAAGTGCATATTTTTGGCAAACAATCATGTGTGTCCCGGTTCCAGCAGCCTCGATGGACGAGTCAAAATGCACATACATATATTAGACATGCGACCGACATTTATATTTCACATTGGGAACAATGTGCTAAGAGGGTGTGGCTAAATGACGCGAGAGATGACGAAGAAAGACGCGATTGGTCAACGTTTCTGCCAAATATAATCGTAGTCACAATGAACTTTTTCTCGCAGAAGGATTCGTCGTCCCTGTAATGTATAATAATGTACGAAAGTATAATACAATCCTTTCCAATGTAACCTTAACCTATAAAATTTACCAAATCGATATAACCTTCGAACTTTATTGTACTCCACGTTGTAACGCGAAATTGTTCTCGAAACGTATGCTTATTGTTGCAATAAACTCGACCACAGTTCCTCGATGCTAACCTTGAAAAAACAACGCCGGAATTGGGGCAGAAAAAAAAGAAAACGAATAAAGACCTAGTTAGATCGTAACAATAAAATATGCTTTGGCCAGAATTTCCCGCTACTGGCTGGGATGCGGCAGATTTAAAGGTTGTGACGCGAATCGAGCGCTACTGACGCAAAACTTCATCTGCAAGAGCGCAGTTTCCGTGGATATACCGTATACGTGATGAAATCTACTAGGACAATGTTAACTCCTGAAAAAGTGAAAATTTAAAGTGCGGTTTTAACTCTCTGGATAGGAATTTAGCGAAATTTTAGGAGAAATTAGAATCGATTAAAACGAAATTATTTCACAAAAATTCAGTTCTTCTACTTCTTCTAGAAATTATTTTTTATAGTAAATATAAAACGATGAATTACATGAAATTCATGGTTGGAAATAAATCATTGTTTGTTTTCATTACGTTCCAAGTTAAAATTTTCCAACGTGAACTTTCCCAAGTAGTGTACACAATAATATGTCAAACTCTGTCAGAATAATTCACAGAGACTGAGCAATTTGTCTACATTCATTTTGAAAAGAGGTATTATGGTTATTTATATTGTTTTTTCAATTTCTTTAAATTATTTTGATCATTTCTTGAAATAAAATAAGTACTTATTTACATAGTTATATAAACTTAATGATATTCCTTTATGTCCAATGTAAAACATGTTTTGCAGTAATACTATATAGAAATATAAAATGTAATTAACTATACATATTACACGTTCAAATTCATAATGGATGACACAATGCAACTCAATCAGCTCGTTATCCACATATCTAAAACGTTCTATCAACAATCATCTCCAAACTCTTCAGCTGTCCTCACCTAACCTCTTAGAAGCGATTCATTCGCAAACATGCAACTCTGAACAAGAGAAAAATCCGTCAGTTGTCCTCAACGTCTCGTTCATTCATTCGATCCTATCCTAGTTTTCTATTGCCTGCCATTACGCTGCATACACTGCATTTTTCCACGCCTTTATTCTATTCCTATCCGTGGCCTGAATTTTCAAGCGGTCGGATGACGATTAACCGGTGCGACTGATCGATCCTTTGCCCACAGAAATGCAAGAAGTTTCGCGTCGGCGAGCGATGCTGCGAATTCGAGTGCCTGGATGACACGGATTGGACTGGACCTGATCTGATCATTGCCTCTGGTTCCTCCAGGGTTCAAGAACAAGGGATATTCTGGCTGATAGGTCTGACGGCGCTGCTGAGAGCGCTCTAGTTCTATAACGAGGCTCCAGAGGGCGTCGTTGAGATTCAGCCATTCAGAACATCGACGACGAAGGTACGATGTAGCGTGCTAGCGATGAACGATTGCGTTTGTGCCTGCTGATTATACCTCGAGAAACAACGTGCTCCGATTATACGATGAGAATTCCTGTGCGTGTTTTTAAAATTTATTTTTCTTCGCTTCGTTTTTCCCCTATTATCGGTTGATGTAGGAATTAATAACTCAAAAGGTGGGGTAGAGTATGTCGAAAGTGGATTTGACTCGTGATAATATCGTGTGATAATGGATGGAATATGATGATAAATCAGGGAAAAATCGTAATTTGCCATTTATTTGCTTAATGTCTTTGTGAAAGGTTCTATTTTTTCAATATTATTCGAGGTTTGTAATATTATAATCAGGAAATACGTGTATGCAGGAAAATGTAATTGTATGCGTATTTCCTGCTTTTCATGATTTTTATGGATGGAATGTTTTAATTCGTTATCGTTGATTTGTATGGAGAGTGGAAATGTGGGAAATTGGTAATATTTTTCTTTACGAAAATTCGACATGTAATAAACGAATAAATCATGCGAATTTAATGAATCAAATGATAAAGAAACGATTGTAAAATAATAAACGGAATAATTGCCACAGTTATTTCTATACCAGGCAAATAATTCGCGAGGTGACGTGAAAGAGAACTATTAGGTTATGTTTTCACAGTACGACTTCTTAACCTCTTGCTTCATGACTTTCTTAATAGCCATACTCTTATTCATTGCTTCAGTGTTGTCACGAACGAGAAACGATAAAGTGAAAGAGATCTTTAATCTCGAAACGTAAAATTAAGATTAAAATGAAACTTTATCGCGTAAATGTAGCTTGTGTTTTTCACTTCAACCGTTGATCGTAATCTACATTTAAAAACATACACGATACAAGGCAAGGGGTTAATATAATTATAAAAGTTAAAGAAAAAAATCAAGTCTTATTTATTTAAATTACAAAAACACAAATCAGGATAATTGCATAAATTTAAACGAGAAAACAGCAAAGACGACAACCATGGAACATAACCAAAAAAGATTATATACTCCAACACTACTTTCTATTAAACAACAGTTCTCGTAAATGTTACACAGCGAATTTAGTTCTCACAACGATAAGAGTATACCAAGAAATCAATTAAGATCAAGGGAAAATGCTCTTCAGACAACGATATCAGAGGGATCAAATCAGCAACTTCAATCGGGGCTACGAAGCATCGTTGCCAAGAGAAATAGCTTTTTTCCATGAAATATCTATGGCAATGATGTATCCGCGTCATTATAGCTGGTGAGCGGTCGTGCATACCGCCATTTTGAGCACGAAGATAAGGAACTCCTAGAGGGCGACAGCGTCGCCACGTTTCAGAGACTTTTATTTTTTCATTTGCGATTACAAAGATCGTGATAGAGGAACGCGAAGAAAAGATGATAATTCGTTGATGAAGAACTCTCAAAGAGGTTCTATAGGGATCACCGATTGTTCCGTTGAGTGGTTCGTTCGAATTTCGATCGGGATTATCGGATGGAAAGGTCGAGGGCTTGGTCGAATATCGACTTGACGCTTCAGCGCCTCACCTCTTTTCAAGCTCGTCAGCCACGAGCCACGGCTCAGTGGATATAGCTTTTTGGAAAAGTCCTTTTGGAATTTTGTTTGACGAACATAGCCGGTTTCACAAGGGATTTTTTAAGGGCAGTTTAGGTTGTTAAAAAGGTCCTTTTTGTAAGGTAGTTATCCGATAGTAAGGCTGTAAAGTAAAATGAAAGAAACATCCGAGAATTTAAGTGGAATTGATAAGCACTTGGAATTTATTTTTTCTATTTATATATATTTATAAGAAATTGTTTTGAAAAAATTGTACTTCGTCTTTTTAGCATGCGGTCTTCGAAATGTCGGTAATAATCAATTTAAAATTGTTTGAAGTCGTGAAAAAATATAGATGTGTGTCGATACTTGCTTTATTCACTGTATATTTACTGTTATTAAATTAAATGTTTGATATGGAAGAATCTTTTTAACAGTCTAACTAACCTCACCTTTTCGTAGAACCTTGCATTCCGTTCTATCTACGAACTGAAAAAGACGTGTGAGTTTCCAATTCGTTGCGAAGATAAACCAACAACAAAGGCAGGCTCGACTGGGTTACGCAGGTTGCGTAGTAACGAGTTAATCCTACTAAGTAAATGAAACGTTTTATTCTCTGATATGCTCGTGAGATCCTTCTACAATGATAGTTGTAAATACTCCTAACCTATTTTTATTTAATCATTTCATTTTTCTAACCTCATTTCGTGTTTCAATTTCCTAACCTAAAAGCGACTCTTGATTTAAAGATAATTAAATTGGTTACACGAATCGGTAACGATTTTGTATTAAACTGCAGAGTTATAATTTGATTTTTAATTTATATTTCTATATTTAATTATATTTCGTTAAAATATATGAAGAAATCAATCGATTCTTTTATTGCTTCGATCGTATTGTAGGAATGCTGCAAATGTCTCCTGCAATATTACTGAACTATTCGTATCACCCAATTAAACGAGTTCTTCTGAAGCAGGGGTTCTCTATTCTCAAGGCATTTATTTCTTAATTAAATTTAAAATCTTCTATGATTTCCTATAAAAAATTATTGAAAGTTTACGGTTAGAAGATGACTCGATTTGGTTATTAGGTTAAACATATAGTTGAAAATTCTCAGATACTTAGCAATTAAGTTAAAGGTGAGGACTGTTAATTTCAATTACTTCTATCGTCGATATTATGGCTGAAAGTTTACAAAATTTTTCTATTGATATTTATAAGCTACTGGTTAAAATAAAAATGTTCGTAACAAATTTAAATTTCTGTCAGTAATTCAAAAACCATTATTTTCTTTTTAACGAAAATAAAGGATGTTCTAAAAACACGTCGCAGATAGTCGAGCCAAAATTGTGCCACACCTTTCAAGATGTCTTTCGTATTCTCATTTCCCATAATTCAATAGCAAGCATGCGAGTACTCGTTGCAAATGCCACTCGACACGAGCAAATTGTTCAAGAGGAAAATACGTTTAGTCACCAAGGCTGCGAAACTAGGATCACTTAACACTAGAATTACCAAACGAGTTAAAATGCCTCGTTTCAAACTTTTCGTAATTCTAATGACTGAAAATGAGTAATAGTTTTCGGCAAAAATAATGTTACTTTCTATCGACATTAAAATTATATGTACTTATTTATTTTCATCATCCCACTTCGTTAATTATATCACATATAAAGGCATGTCAGCAGTCGGTGGTTCCAGTGTTAATTAATTCTGATTAAATCCATCCATTCTTATACGACGGCCTATGAGTTTTCGACAGCTATATTTTGGAAAAAAGGTGCGTGAGAAGTGACTTGAAACAAGAGTTTAGAATGATAATAATAAACTTGTAAATCTAGTGGTGAAATTCAAGGGAAAAATGTAGGTGATATTATAAGCGTTAAAACGACGAGCGAAAATTGATCGAAAGATTGAGTTTAACACTTTGAGGTTAGGAAAACCACGCTTTGACGTTTCGTTTAAAGGAGACGTGTGAAGTTATGCAAACACTTTAGATTGGAACTAAATGAAAGTTCATTACTTACTAAACAAAATTTCTTCAAACACAGTAAACTTGAAGTACAATAGTTTTCTTGATAATTTATTGTTAATATTGTTGTTCGCAAATTTTCTTCACCTATTTAATGTACATTTGAGGTTAGTTTTTGATAGATGCAATGAAAGCTTTGCGTTGGTGTATTTGGAAAATTGAAAGTAGGGAAAAACATTCATTTACTTTCTATTTCTGTACTTCAAATTATTTCACATTGATTTATTTATTTTAATTAATTTGCGTTCTAAAATATTTTCTAAAAATTACGGAAAACTGTTTATGTGCTATATATATTGACAGAACTAGTTGTTAAGTTACGTTAAATATCAACAACAATATTTCTTGGATGAATTATATGTAATTAAAAATACATTTACTATCTTTAGCTGTCCCAAGATGTTTATACAGTGAAAATATTGGTCAAATTTCAAACTTAAGAAGCCTCAAAAGGTTAAATGAAGTTCGTTGCTAAAATATCAAAATTTCTCCCCAGTCTCGTGGAAAGCAGACAAAAGATAGCCTCTATTTGTATACAATCCAGTAAAATATCGAAATCTTTGATCTATCAGATATAAATCCAAGCAGATAATGCCAAAGCTAGTTATCTGTACTGGCACAGTAACAAAACGGCATTGTCGGAACCACCATAATCAAGAATAATATGTATTTTCTACGTGTACAAAGATGTTCATTAATGCACATACTGTATAGATACACAATTGTGGAACACAGAGTTATTCGAAGCAAAAAGATATTTGTCTATTCGACGGAGCATAGAGAATTTATTATCGTTAACTGTATTTCTGTATTCGATGTATCTAACCAATAGATATGCTGAGACATCTTTTATCGAACGAGATGCTATATCGATTGTATATAGGCACGTGCTCAATTAAATCTAATATATACACCACTGTCTATACACATAGAATTTTAAGTGACGTGAGAGTTACAGCGGACTCAATTATAATATACTATATCTTTCTTTTTTTCTTACATGGTGGAAATCTTTGAAAAATGCCTCGTCTCTTCCCTAGGGGAATTTTTACCCACTAAAACCCCTAGGGTGGCCATTCTCGCCGCGCTGGGGGAGCACTGGGAACTCGACACGAACACAAACGGTGCCCCCGCCCCCCGCCCCTATAATATACGATATTTGTACTATCCATTGATGAGAAAGAGGTTAGGGAAAAGTATATGAGTCTAATCGACCATGTTATAACATGTCCATCTTCTCTGTCAACACAATTTTAAAGATTTGTATTATCACATCTAGGAATGCTATCAGTTAGGATCAGCTGACAAGAAAATCGAACAAAATATATTAATAATAAATGAGATAGCATGCAGAAGCATTGGCGTAGACACGATCAGTATTCATCATTCAACGTGAAATAAAAAGAGC